CGAGGACGGAAAATAGGGGTTTATTTATTGGAGTAATATATATTCGGCGTAGAAAATTTAGGCAATAGGACCCTAGCAAATCTGTTCTTGTAAAAAGTGTATCCTCAGTGCAGGAAGAGCGTAAAACTGAAAAAGGCGAGCTGAGATCAAATTCCAGTTTCGTCCATTCCGTTCGCTTTATTTAGACTAAGGGTTTCAGCTAGTTATTTACTCTGTCTCCCTACTAAGACGAGTTTTTTTTAAGCGTTTCACCCCAAGCAGGGCGGGAAGCCACTAGGACGCAAGGGGCTACAGAAAATTTGGAGCAAGGTCAGATAGGAGTGATAGAAGAAAGGATGAGGAGAAGGGTAGTGGATAGATCAACGCAACTGGAGATGTCGATTGACATTACATTTGAAGAGCTGGAGATTATAACTCTCAGAGAAACTGGAATAGGGAAGGGAGTTCCACAGGAGAGAGGTGCGAGACATGAAGCTATTGGAGTAGAAGAGATGGCTACATTTAGTAGTTTCGGCAGTGAAAGGGTGAGAGCGGGATGCCAGCCTCGTCGGGCGCTTGAACTCATGAAGTATGGGAACCAGCGAATGCAGCTCCTCGGAGCAATTGCCATGAAAGTATTTGTAAAACAGACAGAGAGAGACGACGGCGCGTCTGTGGGAAAGCGACTGTAGACGAGATGCCAGAACAGGGCCAATTATATTGCATATCAGCCTCTAGAGCTTATCAAGAACCCCGAGGCAAACAGAAGGGGCTCCAGACCATATATGCCAGCAATACTCCATGCAAGGGCGAATTGTTGATTTGTAGATCTGGAGAATCGATTCCGGGGAGAAAAATTTCCTGGCGCGGCACAGGGAGCCAACTTTCCTTGCGGTGGACGAAGCAATTGACTCAATGTATTTGTTCCATCTCAGGTCAGCCGTCATCGTGAGACCGAGCAGACTCAGAGAGTTGCTCTCGAGAAGTTGAGCGTCAGACATTCTAATGGAGGGCAGGGAAGGATCTCTGTGGTGATTAATCGAGAGCAGTTTTTTGTGACACAAGGTCATTTTTAAGGTGGTGACTCGCGCACGCACACGGGGGCCAGGAACAAAAATTGCCCGTAGCCTCCGCAAACTTCGGCTGCGCTGGTCTCGGTGCGAGAATCGATCCCTTTCTCTGGTGCAATGAAAAGGCGCGGCCTCGGGCAGCTGTTCCGCAGGGCGGGGCATTTCTCAGTATAATTTCCTTCAGTTGCGACTCGGTCCTTTGACAGAATCGGCCCTGAGTGCACTCCGCCCAATGACAGAGACGCAACTGAGTGATGATAAATAGATGTGTTACAAACCCCTCAAGAGAGGGGTTCACACGCGTATTTATTTTCTAAACGTAGTTTAGATGTGGCACAAGGCCTTAAGTGTAGGGCACCTAGTGAGGATCGAACTCACTATTAAGTCGTAAATAGATGTAGCAAGGTAAGCTTGCTAACCATTACACGACGTCAAAGTGCCCTTGATTTTAGATCAGCTTAGATGTGGCACAAGACCGAAAGTTGTAACAGTTCTAGCGAGACAAGCTTGTTAACCATTACACCACATCGAGGTGCCCAACTAATGATGGAACCTCTTCCATGGACCGTCATAATAATAATAATAATATACGATAATTTTTATTTATAATATTTTTTATAATTCTAATAATCTTTTGCGTTAGATTTCAACTCTCTAAATTGATTGTACGCTTTTTTTACTGACATTAAATTTTGCCTTTGATTTTTACGCAGTGTAAAAAAATCATTATTTTTTTCGATTTTTAACCTTCAAGATTGTAATTTTTTTCCAGCAAATTTGGACTCAAAACCGGCACTGAAGAATTTTCTATCAAACAAAAACATTCATCGAAATCGGATGAAAACTGTGGAAAATCATAAACATCCGATCACACACAAACACACACACATTTTGAAAATTATAGATATAGATAAATAATATATATTGCATTATAGTTTGTTCACATATCTTTTATGAGCATGTAAATATAAAAACATTCCTGTAAATAACCACTTTTAATAAAATAAATAGAGAATGCATAAAACCAGTTTCATATGGTTCGAGTTTGCTTAACTTCGGTGATCGTACGGGAACCGCTGTTTCAACATGATATGGCCGTAAACCCATGCGATTATAAACATAAACACGTATCGAAAGTAATAATAAAAACACGTTTATCAGAAATAAGACCAACACATTTATAACAAGACAATAATAATAGAATATTTTCTGTTTATCTCGATACAGTAAGAAAATAAATTTGAAAACCAGATATGAAGGGACACATAAAAGAGAAAAGCTGATTTTCTTAGAAAGTCGGAGTTTGCGTGAAAATGTCCAGTAAAAAGGTTGGATAACTGAGCATCACCAAAGATTTGGAGGAAGTAATGTTAAGATGTGGTGACTTTTTTTTTTTTTTCAAGAAGCTGGATATAAATAAAAATTAATCAGAGCTATATAAAAGGATTATTTTTGAGAAGTAAGCCAAAAAGATAATTTTTTTTTAAAAAAAAAAAAAAAAAAAGGACATCTTATAGCGAAAAGAAAAACTTTTTAGAATATATTTTTTCTTACGTATTTATTTTCAAATGCAGTCGTTTTTGAAGTCGATAAGGAAAAGACTGACTTTGGATTTTTGCCACAAAGCAAAGTAGATTAGACAGTACTGATAGTCGTTTTCATTATACAGACATTTTGTTTTATGTTTCATTGCTTCATTATGAAGCCTGCTTGTATATTTGTTTGCTTCTGTAGATAGGTTGATGTAGGTTTATTTCGAAAATTTGCGATATCCGAGAGAGAGAAAGGGGCGTAAATAAAAATAGAACTACTTAAGAGAAAAGTTGAGAACGACTTAAGAAAGACAAACAAAAGCCTGAGAATGACAAAATGAAAACAAAAAAAAATCTTAAAGAAAAAAAAAGAAAGAACACAAAAAATACTGAATAATAAAAGACATGAAAAAGTTATCGAAATTTCTAACTATTTTTATTCAAAACATATTTACCTTCATTCAAAAACTTACTTTCTTTTTAAAATGGAAGCTCGGTTCACGAATTTAATTCGTTCTTGAAGGCCGTTCGTAACCCGAAATGTTCGTAAATCGAAACTATTTTTCCAATCGGAATCAATGAAGAGGGGAAAAAGTCACAGTACAATAACAATTGAAAAGAAAAACACAACACAACACCCGAATGTATACAACAAGGCGGTCGCCTCAGAAATAATATTGCCGATTCTTCTTTGGATTTTATCAAGTATCTCTAAATATACAGCAGGAATACCGGACTATATGCGTCAGCAATATTCAAAGCACGGACGAATTATAGACTTTAAAATATGTAAAATAGATTCTGGAGAGAAAGATTGTCTAGCACGACACAGTGAACCAGTTGTCTTAGCAGCAGACCTAGCAATGATTTCAATGTTATCCTTCCACTTAATGTCAGTCGAGAATGTCCAGTTGTCTTAGCAGCAGACCTAGCAATGATTTCAATGTTATCCTTCCACTTAATGTCCGAGAATGTCAGCAAGAAGGTCAGGAGAATGTCAACCCAAGAAGGTCACAGTTAACCAGTTGTCTTAGCAGCAGACCTAGCAATGATTTCAATGTTATCCTTCCACTTAATGTCAGTCGAGAATGTCAGCCCAAGAAGGTCACAGTTAACCAGTTGTCTTAGCAGCAGACCTAGCAATGATTTCAATGTTATCCTTCCACTTAATGTCAGTCGAGAATGTCAACCAGTTGTCAGACCCTAGCAATGATTTCAATGTTATCCTTCAATGTTATCACTTAATGTCAGTCGAGAATGTCACTTAATGTGATTTCAATGTTATCCTTCCACTTAATGTCAGTCGAGAATGTCAACCCAAGAAGGTCCAAGAAGGACCTCAATGATTTCAATGTTATCCTTCCACCAGAGAATGTTGTCTTAACCAGCAGACCCTAGCAATGATTTCAATGTTATCCTTCCACTTAATATCAGTCGAGAATGTCAGCCCAAGAAGGTCACAGTTAACCAGTTGTCTTAGCAGCAGGCGTAGCAATGATTTCAATATTAACCTTCCACTTAATGTCAGGCGAGAATGTCAGCCCAAGAAGCCGCAACGAGTCACTCTTCATGCTCACAGCTGATTAATAAAGAGAAATTTCGATTTAGTGGCATTAAATTAACTTGCTATTTCTTGCCCTTGTTAACAACAAACAGTAGGTCATTTTTAGGTTATCTTGCAATTTGACCTTACCGAACTGATCCGACTTACAAAAAGGAATCTCTTTACTAATATAGTATAGTTTTTTTTTATTTATGTATTAATTTTAGTAAGTGATGTATTTAATAGCGAATAGTCATACAATGATATGTTTTTAACGACAATATTTTATTTTCTTAGTAAAATAAATCGAAAGAATACAAAAATGTGTGGATAAAATTGCGTATGTTGGAATGTTCATATTCCTACATTCGTGTGTGTAAAGTTCCGATGAAATTGTGACAAACAAAACTGAGAAGAGTTATTGTTTTTGGTTTTGTGGAAGTATTAGATACACTTGTGTTGAGTTAAATATGCTTATGGTATTTGCATGCAGTATAGTATATTTTGTATAAGTTCTGTTTTCTCACCAACAAGAGAAACAAAGACATGACCTATCTGTAAGACATCCTGTAGGTAAGAGAAAAAAAAAAAAGCGGTACTTTTCCATCGTTATATACTGTTTTTTTTTTGCAGCGCCATCAAGCAGAAGTTCTTTGTCAGACAAGTTGTGTAATTCCACACAGTATAGTTCCAGAATGAAAGAATAGGCTCATAATAATATTCTTTATTCGGATCTATTCTGTCGTTTCTATAATTAATTAACCAGCGACGTTAACAAATATACCACTAATAAATTTGAATTTCTATTGTTATTTTTTAGAAGAGAAACGTACTGACAGTTTATATACGTACATAGTTTTCAACACATTTTCCTGA